GGAGAAACATTCTAACTAAGCATGCTTATGCAGCAGGTTCTCGGTCAGAAAGCGTAATAGGTAGAAAAATACAAACAAACAGAATAATAGTATAGATCATTGATATAATGTTTGATATTTGTTTAACTCCATACAGAGAGAGAGAGAAAGGGGAGTTCATATCTTTGAACTACAGTAATCAAACTATTGTACCATATTTTCACGTAAATAACCCGCGGGCTATACGTTAAATTACTTTTCAAAAATGCCAACTGCGGAGTATACTCGTGTGCGGGTAATACGGTATTTTTATTTTGTTTTTAAAACTGAAATCGACTGAAATTATGAATATTCGTTTATGTTGTTCTTGTTCAACACGTGGAGCGATTCATCAATCGGCCGATAAGTACGTCTGTTAGCGATCCTAGTTATTCTCTGGTCAAAGGGCAAAGTATAAATACCTTGGACTGTATTTATCAGCATTTGAATAGATTACAATTGCGACTTAATTAATTGCTCACGTATTCCAAGACGAGTAGATTTCGATTTCAGTGTGTTCTATAGCGTCACCACAACCTTTAACCTGTGATTGGCTTCACCACGTGACATAACTAAAGGGGATTGAGTTGAATTATCAACGAGATACAAGCTTTTTTGTAAGTTTAATCGTAATATTTTTAATAACAGTTCTTTTGCACATGTTACAAACATATATCTAATTTGATGTGAATTAATTAAATGACTATTGTGCGTTATTGTGTTACGTAATGTAGAAAGATTCTTTAATTTTTCTTATCTTTCATAATTTGTTTGTGTCGATGGCTTGCGGGGTATTCACAAATGCGGGTAATACGAGCCTAAAAGTTTCTTAGAGCACGTTTAGCTGTGGCATAACGGCTCAAAGAATCGGTCCGAGTTGTTTTATTTTTCAAGTACAAACTTTTAGCTCGTATCTCCACCTCTTGACCAATTTGAGATCTAATTACAGCTGCGGCTATTGAGGATTTCCTCGTGTTTTTCAAGTACAAATTTTTAGCTCATGGCTCCATCTCTTGACCGATTTGAGATCTAATTACAGCCGCGACTATTGATGATTCTCCTTATTTCCTCAGGTGCGAGGTATACCAGGGGATGGGTTATTTATGTGAAAATACAGTATTAAATTTATAGTACTAATCTGCACAGTGGGCTATATGCGCTGTGCCCACCTCAAGGATAAAACAAGTTACTGTCATAAGCCATCAAGCTTACTGCTGAGCTTCTGGGAAGTTTGTAAATTAGGTCTCGTGACAAACAATAAAACACGTTGACGTAAGTTAAAAGCAATTACATAACACCTAAAGTTATTTACTTGCGTGCTGCAATAAATGTTCTTGAATCTGGATAACTCAGAAAGTTTGAGTCAACTCTATAGTTATATAAAGTGTTTGTGTGTATGTGTGTATAAATAATGATTTTCAATCACATGTAGACAGTTGTTAGTTTAATGAAATCCTGGTGCATTTAAATTGAGTGGTAGAAGTATAATATGGTACATACACAAAAACATGTTGAAACTAAATGATCGTAAAACAGTTTTTAACGCTAATTTAGTTTTTTGTAAGTTAATAAAATCCGATTTAAAGTATTTCTAACTAAATGGTATTTGATAATTTTAGAAATATGACAGGTTCATTCAATTGAAAAACAAGTCTTTGCCTGATTCAAAGTAATTCCAGATGTCGCTTCTGCAGCCAAATTTTGTTCCACAGTTATTTAAACAGTTCGACCATTTTTAAATAAAACACAATTAGATAAGATGTAGACCGACTAATAGCAGCTATAAAGTTGATAGTGTTGAGCTTTTCTCAGTACAAAGCTACACAAGGGGCTATCTGCATTCTGCCCAGCATGGGGAATCGATTCTCGAATTCTAGCGTTGCGAGTTCATACATTTATCGCTCACCCAACGGGGGACAGCTATTAGGTAGTATTTACGCAACAAGCTTCTTTTTAGCCCCATATTACCCAGATCTTTCTCGGTAATATGGGGCCACAGAGAGGCTTGTTGGGCAAATACAACCTAATAGCTGTCCTCCGTTACTCTCATTAACAGTTTTGGTTAGAATGTTTAATATCTCCACTTTTATTATTTATTATCATCCTTTTATCCCAGATAATTCTTTGGATTGTTAGCTTAATACATATAATTTAGGACTAACGTAAATATCCTAAGCTGGCCGAACCTCGTGAAATAATTATTGGCTTTACAGGTGAAAATATCGTTAACACCTAGGGTTCTCATCTGATGGAATAATGCATTCTAGTCTTTATTAGGAAGAACGTAAAAAATGTATATTTGATTAGCTATAATTATTACCGGGTTGATTTTTAGTTTCGCTCTAAGTAGCTTGCTCTGATGGGAAGTTAATATTAATGAATAATAACTATCAGACTAGATTGGCTAAATAGAACGTAGAACAGGTACTGTGAGTCAAACACATCTTAAAACGACTGAATACTATGATCATACTGTTAAAGAATACTTCCTTTCCAGCCATAAATCTAAACGAACTGAGACATGTGCGATAACAAATTATGTTTCACTGGTGCTAATTAGGAGCGAAATAAACATAAAAAGCCTTGTTAAGTAACATATAAGAAACCGAGCACAGTTCATTTGAAACAAAGGTTATAGTACTTCAGGAGATGAGACTACAATCCCATTGAAAGTAGGAACACCACATTTCAGTGAATGAAAAGACAATCCCTTTGAAGTTGAGAGTAGGATACTTGAAGAGATGAGAACATAATCTTTTTTTTTTTTTGTATTTAAAGAAAGGATCGCAATACCCCTGAAACTTAAAAAACAGTGTTTCAGGATATGAAAGCACAATCTCTCTCTCTGAAGCTAAGAACAAGGTATATCAGGAGATCAGAACCCATTCCTTCTGAAACTGAAGAACGAGGTAATTCAGGAGATGAAAACACATTCCTTCTGAAACAAAGAATACGATACTTCAGGAGCTTGTAACATAATCTATTACGGGTAAGAAACACAGTTCCTCAGAATCTAGGAACATAATATTTCAGGGATTAGAACCAATCCTTGATAACTAAGTACACGTTTTCCAGCTATAAGGAACAACGAACGCAACGTACTCTCAGTCTAGAACCTCAGGAAGCAAACCATCAGCTTAGAAATTAAGCATTTCCCCTCATAAATTGGGAACAGTCTGTCGGCTTAGGGAATACTTTTTTTTTTTCAAATATAAGGAACAGAAATCTTCAGGTTACAAATACAAATACAATGCTTCAGAAAGTAAAAACACAATATTTTAGTGCCTAAAGAAACACTTCCTGTTTAACTAGGGTCAGAATTACTCAGGGACTAAAAAGATTCCGTACTCAGAAGCTAGGAAAAGTTTCATTCTCGAAATTATAAAACAAGTCTTCCGCTTAGGAACCAGTACATATTCCATCAGCTAATAGACACGCAGTTTCTCAGTTTAGGAACTAAGAAAACATGTGAATCCTATATCAATTCACGTTATGTATTTGTCTCTTTGTCCGCGAACTCCTCACACAATTTTGGAGCTAGTAGGATACAACTTGACAGGTGGACTTGAGATGGATCGGTGGGGTGTCCTTATCTTTACGACGTAACCCTCCTATTAGAGCGGGGGAACTAAAACCCTCCCAGGATGTCATCCAGACATGATGGTGGTTTAAGAATAAGTTTTAAGGGTAGCTGAACCCGAGCCTGGCATCGGATTTTGTGTTTCTCCACCTCCATCCCCCTCTGGATTCCGAGGTGCCATGTTTGAAACTGCATTCACACCACCTCTAACAGAACCTGACCTTCCTGGTCCAAACATGGACCTAATCCCGATGCAGAACCATTACGGCACAAATCATTCTTAGAGCAGAAGTCTTCCTGAAAACAGGTGATTAAAAACTAAAGTATGGCTCGTACAAAGCAAACTGCAAGAAAATCCACGGGCGGAAAGGCACCCAGAAAACAAATGGCCACTAAAGCAGCTCAAAAGAGCGCTCCAGTCACAGGTGGTGTCAAGAAACCTCATCGTTGTAGGCCTGGAACTGTAGCTCTCCCTCAAATCCGTCCTTACCAGAAGTCATTTGAGCTGCTCATCCAAAAGTTTCTTTTCGAGAGACTCGTGAGAGAAATCGCCAATGATTCCAAGACCGACCTAAGCTTCCAGAGCTCTGCGGTTATGACTCTTCAGGAGGCCAGTGAGGCATACTTGGTGGGCCTCAACTCGTATTCCATTCATGCAAAGAGAGTACCTATAATGCCGAAAGACATCCATCTCGCTCGCCGAATCCGAGGGGAACGAGTCTAAATGGAGAGAGAAAGGTGCTGTATCTTACTCTCTTCATTAAACAAACAGCCCTTAACATGAACAAACGGAACAAAACGGGCACAAATGCTCAGGTGCCAGGGTGGGTGTTTTAACGGGGTTTGTTATGGGGTACAAAGACCCCTTGGGGTAACAATAGAAGTAATTGGGGATAATGGAGGAGTTTAGTAGGTACAGTGAGACCTCTGTAATTCTGTGAATCAGGAGGGGACCTTTGAACTGAGCAGCGGAGAGGGGGTACTTTATGTAGTTTTAAATAGACGAAAAACTATTTAAAGGTGTAAAACAAAGATTAGTTTATAAGCTGAACTAACCTAGTTTCTTTTCAGCCTCAACTTATGAATGAGTAAGCTCTCTTTTATACGACGATTTTGTTCATCATTGGCCCTTGTTAAGATGTGAAAATAATTTGAATGGACTACAGCGTCACACTCACTTAAGGCGTACTCCAATACATTTGATTTATTCGGCGTTATTAAATTTTCATGTTCTTTCACTCGAGTCAGCAGCTTTGTTGTAAGAGGGTTGATGTAACCTTGTTTGGGTAGGTAAATTGGTAAACTACATTTAATGTTTTAATCAAGAAATGCAATCTTTGTCTGAAAAATGCTGCAGTCGACATCCGTGTTTAAACATGCATCTCAGTTGTATATGTGGATACACTTTACGAAGTAGGGTGCGAAATTGTATTTAACATACAAAACATGTATCGATATATGATAAAGTTGTAAAAACTGGACATTTAAAAACTTCATACGTTGACAGCTTTCTAGAGCTCACTTTGTTCAGATAGTCACAAATTATTCGATCAATTAAATAAATAGGAAAACCATTTCTGCATAAAAATTCTTGAAGTTGTCAAACTCTTTATGTTAAAATTCATAAATGCTTGAAATTTCATGTTCAGGATGAACTAAGCTATGCATCAAGGTTTGTCTGAACACAGTTGGTATATAACTTATAAAATTAAAATAAAGGTCGGTAAATATTCTTTGTGATGGACTTTAGATATAATATTTCCATAACAATTATGAATTAATGTCTTTATAAACACAGTTGGTATATAACTTATAAAATTAAAATAAAGGCCGGTAAATATTCTTTGTGATGGACTTTAGATATAATATTTCCATAACAATTATGAATTAATGTGTTTATAAACACAGTTGGTATATAACTTGTAAAATTAAAATAAAGGTCGGTAAATATTCTTTGTGATGGACTTTAGATATAATATTTCCATAACAATTATGAACTGATATATAACTTGTAAAATTATAGATATAAAACTATAGATCCTAATGCACATCCTTTTTTATGTATTTTGGGAAGGGAACAATAAAATCCCCGAATGATTTCCTGGTGGCCTAACTTCTAAACATTGTGCGTGAGTTATCAGATTATTATTTTCATTTTAAATTCAACGGATATCTATAGCTATTTCTATAGCCTAGGTAAGATCTTGGTCAAGCTTCACAAATGTCTTTGAATTACTCAATATGATATGAAATTTACTTAAATATTCCACTTTATTTGAAATAACTATACTATTTTTTTTTATCAGAATTGATACTGATATTATTATTTTTATTTAGCTTTTCAGTGCTGATAATTCTTCCTCACTTACATTTAAAAAATTGGTGATTAAAATAATAATTATTAAACTAAGTTAAAGTTTGTTTGTTATAAGGCAAAACCACAGTGGACTACTTGCTATGTTCACCGCGGGGAATCGAACTCCCGATTTTAACGTTATAAGTCTGTAGACTTACCGCTATCCCACCGTGGGATAGTTAAAGTTATTCCACTAACTTGAGTTCTGATATTATTGAAGAATTCTACAGATTTAGACCAAATTGGTTGTTTAGACAGTAACTTGAAAATAATTTTTAAATTTTTTTGAAATTTTTCCCAGTATAAATCACCTACACTAAACAGACAAAAATCTCCGCTAGGGGTTTGAAAATTCACCTTTCAGTTATCACAGATTAAATTAAAAATAATATATAGCTCATTAAGCCTCCCTACATATACTGATAATGTTATAATCTGCTATTGCAGAAAATTCGCCTCAAAATGAACGATTTTGTAACTACGTGTGGGTCAGCGGTAAGTTTACAGGCTTACAGATCTGCCCCCCCCCCCCCAGTGGCACAGCGGTATGTCTGCGGACTTACAAACAAACCGGGTTTCGATACCCTTGGTGGGCAGAGCACAGATAGCCCTTGTGTAGCTTTGTGCATAATTAAAAACAAACAAACTTACAGATCTAAAACTAGGGTTTGATTCCCCGTGGTGTACAGAGCGCAGATAGCCTATTCTGTAGCTAAAACAAACTCACTCCTTTTATACATAACTAATAATAATTACTGTTTTCAATAATTTGATAAGAAAATTTTGAAAATCCATATATATGTATTTTCCTAATTTTTATACTTAACTGCGGATCATAGGACCAAAGGTTCGACGCGTGATACCGCTGAACACGCTCTGTACTTTCAGCTGTGAACGGATTATAAAAGTTTCAGTTGATCCAGTTATTCGATTCAAAAAAGACGAACACATTCCTTGTGACAGTGGTCACTGCTGGCTTGCTGCCCTCCCTCTCGTTCAAGTTGAAAATTCAAATTACAATTAAAACCAGTTAGAGCATACAACGATAGAATAAAGCGCGGAAAACACGACAAGTGTACAAAATGGCAAACTAGATCATTAAACTTTTTTGGTTGTTGTTTTTACGGAATTTGGCTTTATGAAATTTCAATCATTAATATAGAAAAATGGATTAGACTTCAACTCCAAATTAGAGAAGAAAAGGGCCGATTAGAGAATAATTCCATACTGGATAAGAAATGGATTAAACTAACGATTAAACTTCAAGTACAAATTACAATGGTGAAAAAATGTATCGTATCACCCAATTTGTTCACACTTTTTGTCGGAATCATCGTCTGTTTTGAGGCCCAAATGTATTTAGACGCAAATGTGTTTCATGGAGGATGCAATACTGTCTAATTATTACATCAACAGCTCTAAAGACTGTTTGGATATTGCATCAGCCGAGTTTTGGCTATAAATATAGGTTCTGACTGAGAGTCAGTTTAGAAGCTTATATTCGACAACATAGCCAAGGGTTGCGACTTAACTCCACGGAAAAAAAGCAGTCATTGTATCTTTGAGAAAAGGGGGGCTTTAGACAAGGTAAATTCCTAGAATGATTAAATTTAACCAGTCTACTATTACCACTAGGTGCAGAGATATATATAGATAGATTGGCTGTGTGGAGTAGCGGAAGGGAAGGAGTAGGAAAGTATACGCTTTCAGAATCTTTGACTGTCGTCCACAGATCTCAAAAGAGTTTGACAGGAAATTTGAACAGTAACTGTCATCACGTGTACTGTCCAGTCTCGCCTGTATTCAGGTGATCTTCCAGAAATACACCCAAAAAAGATCCCCCCTCACCAACAAGATGAGGAAGATGGGGCTCAACTTGGCCAAAGAGCATACTGACTGGACTGAAGCAATGTGGAGCAAAGTGATCTTCTTGGATAAATCAAAGTTTAACCTGCACGGGTCTGATGGGAAGCACTTTGTACGATGTTGATCTGGAAAAGAGTTTAGCCTAGTTTATTTGAATGCAATTGGAAACATTCGCAGGGTGTAGGACGCCTGCATTTTGTGAAATGCACTCTCAATGCGGACAAGTACATCGAGACCTCTAGCCCAAGTTAAAGCCCACGATTCGAGATCACATTGATGGAGCTGACCAGTGTACATTCCAGGATGACTATTCGTCATGCCACAGAGATGAAAACGTTGGTGATATTCATGCACTCTATGTAGTAGACATAAATTATAGGGAAATCTTCACACTACGTGTATTGAAAGGACGTCTTAGGTTTTATTCAATTGCTTCAGGTGAAAGATTATCTTCGAAGGGAGAAGATCAAGACACTACTCTGGCCAGGCAACAGCCCATATCTCAACCCTATCAAAAACTGTTGGAAAGTACTAGGTAACAAAGTGAAAGAGAAGACACTGATAAACACCTGGGAACTGCAGGAAGCCCTAATCTGCGTGTGGCAGCATGAACTCATCCCTGCCAACGTTCAGTCCTTCGTAAACTTTTTGCCACGGCGATGTCAAGCAATAATCCAGGCCAGAGGAGGCGCAATCAAATAAGAAACAAACTCTTTGATTACTTTTTTGTAAATTACATTAGTGGCTTTACCTTTAAATCTAAGTTTTCTTACTTGGAGAGCATTTTCGTATTTGTTCATCATCTGCTGAATAAGTTTGTTAATAAAGATGTATAAATACGTTTGGATGGCTGAAATACGAGTAAGTTTACACCACACAAACGTCCCTAACCGTTTTACACTAGTTCTGACACTTCCACAATACACAATATCATAAACATCACAGGAACCAAGAAAAGTGTGAAAATAATTGGGTGATGCAATAATTTTTCTACCACTATAGATAAAACGTGAATTAAACTACAAGTCCTTATTGTATAGGAAACGGAATGAAATTCGTGTCCAAACTAACGATAAAAAATAAACTATAGTCGAAACTAAATAATAAATCAATTAAACTTCAAATCTCTACTACAGTATAATTTTCACATCAGTGTATGCAACTGTGAGAAGCTGTGCACATTTTAATTTCGTCGACTTAACTCTAAACAATTAACCGATAACGAAATTAAGTCAAGCTTTTATATTTTGAAAGTATTTTATTTCAAACAAAATGAATTCATCTAATAGACATCAACTGGTCAATTAATTGAAAAAAGTTGCAACTGCTTCATTTTATTTCTGGATCATTGTTTTAGTTAATTTTGGTAAATAATTTTCTCTGCACTTTCTGCGGCCAAATTGTTGTACTCTGTTAGTGAATTTTGATATCTACAGATCACGATCATTCTGCGCCAAATGTGCACAGTTCCAAAAATCATATTTCCAAAGGAGTAAATGTGG